ATAAACATTTATTAAGTGCATACTATATGAAAGGAGCTATATTAGGTGTTAAGCATACAAAGAAAAACAAATCTATTCACAAGGAATCCACACATATGTAAAGTGTGATTTTTGGAGAGAGAGAGAACTATCAGGGGATGAGGTCAGGAAAGACATCCTGAGTTACCTCCCATCAGTCAATAAACTTAATCATTTAACAGCTACAGAAAGATAGTATGTCTCAGTTTGGGCCTTGATATTAATTCAGTTGTAGATGCAGAGCTATGGAGTTGAGTGTTCATAAGTCACCTTCACAGCTGGTCTGAATTTGCTTCTGTCTTCAGTTGGACATAGTAAGACTGAGTCATTGGTAGGAACTTTCTTATAGTATCTCTCTAGCTTTGTCCTCAGGGTTTCAGCCTTCTGACCCACTTGTCCATGGAATTATTTCCCCCAAATAGGCTCTAAAGATTTACATTCTTATGTGGAAGACAATAAGAAGATGTCTATATCTTTATATAGATGTATGTCTAGATATATCTCTCTTTGTGCATATATACATATTTATGTGTATGTCTATATATTATACATATACACATTTAAATACATGCACATGTATACATAGCTCTATGACTATGCAGAATATGATTGCATGCATTTCATATATGCATGCGTGTATGTGTGTGTGTATGTAGAGAGAGACAGGGGGAGAGAGAGGGAAAGAAAGAGAGAGAGAGAATATAAATATAAAGTAGTTAAATACAAAGCAGTTTATTAGACCTATATCCCAAAGATACCCTATGTACAAACAAATTTATATCAGCTCTTTTTGTGGTGGTAAAGTACTGGAAAGTAAGGGAGTGTCTGTCAGTGGGGAATGGCTGAACAAATTATAGTATACAAATGTAACAGAATACTATTCCATTGTAAGAAATGAAGTGGACAGTTTCAGAAAAACTGGGAAGCCCTGTACGAACTGATGCAGAATAGAATGAGCAGAACCAGGAGAACAATTTATATAATAACAGTAATGGTGTAAAGACACACAACTTTGAAATACTTAAGAACTCTGATTAGTGCAATGATTCCAGAGGACTATAGATGATGCAACCTTCTGAGAGAGAAAGGTAATGGATTCAGGGTGCAGATTGAGACATATGTTTCAGACATATCTACCACAATAATTTGTTTGCTTGACTCTGAATATTTATTGCAATGGTTTTGTTTTCCTTTTTCTAGTTTTTTTTTTTTTAATGGAGGGAAGTAGGAGGGAGAGAAAATAAAAATAATTACAAGGTACTTTGAGGGAGAGCACTAGCACTTAATGGGATTAGGAAAGGTTTTGTGTAGAAAATGGTCTTTTCCAAATTCTTCCATGTAGGCTCACTTATTCCTGAACCCCTCCCAACACATCTCTGAAGCTCTACTAATCTATCACCAGTCAGACTTCCATCAACGCCTAACCATTGAAGGAGTGCCTGAAATTGAAATGCTGCTCCATAATACCATCAACCTATAGCCCACTATGTGTCTGGTAGTCCTGACAAATTAATGAAATTGAATTCATAGAATGAAATGGAGGGAATGATTTGTGTTTGTACTTCATAATAAAATAAGGAAACATAGAAGGGCATAAAAAATGAATGCAAGCCCCAGCAAAGCAATAATCAAAGATGAATCAAGATTAGGCTGATTAATAAATTAAATATGAAAATATAAGATGCTATTAAAAAGAGAGATAAATGCTATGTTAGGTTCTATTAATAATAGTGTCACATTTAAAACAAGCAAGGTAATTATTCTAATTTATTCAACATCACTGATTAAGTTTCTAAAATATTTTTTTCGAGACAGATGAATTGAAGATAATTCAGAGAAGACCAATCCAAATCATGGAATGCTTGTAGATTGATTTGAAAAGAAAAAACAAAAGCTTTCACAGTCCATAGAATATTTGGAAAAATTCTATTCAGTTCAATTGAACAAATATTTTTGAGAACCTGCTGTGTGCAACACTTCTAGGCACTAAAGGAAGTTACAAAGATAAATGAAACATGATGAAGTTGGAGGTCCCTGTGACAGGCAGCAAAATTATTTACATAGATTATTTCGCTAAAAAGAGTGAGCAAATCTCAAAGTTTCCAGAACATTTGACAGATTTTTAGGAATACCAGGTCTTTAGTACCCCTCACATCCTGGAAAATAATAAATACATGGTGTAGTGAAGTAAGTATTGGCCTTGGAGTAAGGAAGACCAAGGTTGTCTTCCTGAGATACTGGTGTGTGACCCTGGCCAGCCTGTCAGAGCCTCAGTTTCCTCACCTGTCAAAGAAGAAAGTTGGACCTAATGTCTTGTTTTTTAGCTCTAGATGTATAATGATGTGTGGGACAGCGACCCCAACCCAAATTAAACTCAGAGACTTCTGAAGGTGGAAATTAAAGGTTACCTTTAGTAAAATCTCGCGAGATGGGAGGGAGAGGGAGAGGGAGAGGGAGAGGGAGAGGGAGAGGGAGAGGGAGAGGGAGAGGGAGAGGGAGAGGGAGAGGGAGAGGAGAGGAGGGGAGAGGGAGAGGGAGAGGGAGAGGGAATAACAGGGGCCCCCTGATGAAGCAAATCTCCACCCACCACGCAAACAAGCCTCCACCCACCACGCAAATAAGTTTCCACCCACCACTATCCCTTACCCAGTTAACTGGGGGTGGACCTACATTCTAAGCTCGAAAGTTTCTTCTTATCCTCTTAACTGGGAGGTGAGGCTTACATTCCAGGACCGAAATTCAAAGACAAGGAAAGAGGCCGGAAACTCAGGTTGGGGGTGGGGCAGGGCTTATTCTTTCTGTTAAGTGCTTAAAAACAGGGTCTAAGTGGGGGAGGATTTTGAAAGTAATAATCAAGAATTATTTGACCCTTTGAGGAGCCTTCACTTCTGACAGTTCATTTCTCACACATTTCTCATTACCTTAATTACACTGAGAAGTCTTCACTGGGACATCCCATTCAATCAGATCTTACATTACTGCATTTGAACCTCAAAATAGACTAGTAAGATAGATCACTAAAGTTATTATTAGTTCCCTTTTACAGGTCTGGGCTCAGAAAGGATAAGTAACTTACAGGATCATAGATTTAATACTTGAAGGAACCTCATAGGTCACCCAGCCTAACTCCCTGGTTTTTATAAATGAGGATACTGAGGCACCCAAGATCATTGGTAGTGTCAGTGGCAAATCTAGAGCGCAGATCCTGATTCCAGAGCCTGTGTTCTTTCCTTTATACCACCAAGGTCACACAGTTGGTAAATATCAGAGACAAAATTCGAATCAAGGTCTTCAGAACTCTTTAAGTCCTATACTATATCATGTTTTTCTCCAGTGTTTTCACTTAGCCTTTTCTTTCTTTTTCCCCAGAACCAAAAAGGAGGCGGAATTTCTGAGGCATTGATATGTAAATGCACTTCCTTCCCACTTAACTGGTTCTTTGCCCTGAAGGGAACTCAAATCTGAAAGTTCTACAAATGAATTTTAATGGGCTGGCGTTTGCTGCCCCCTCTGCTCCTGGGTTGGGATTGGGGGAGGGAGGCCAGAATGTGATGAAAGAGGGTCCTCCCATTGTTAAATAGGGGCCAAGAAGGAACAACTCTACTCCTAAGTAGGTTTGCATTTTATTTTTGTAGGCATTCTCATTCTCTTTCTCTTAATGAGATCCTTTCATTCAGCCCCTGTCTCATTGAATTAATGATTAATTAATTGAATCAATGGTAGGAGGATTTTCTGATAGCCTAGCCTGAGAATAAAGGGGGCCAGCTCCTTGAGGTTTAGGTTACAGCTACTGGCAGAAGTTACAAAGAATTTCACCTTTCCCATCTACAGCAGCTTTAGGAGTTGAGGTTCAGAGGTGGAAAGCTACGTTTCCCAACCTTTCAGAGCTGTTTCTTCTCATGGAGTAGCCCAGATTTCCAGGAGTTTTCCTTCTGCCTGATCCAACTCATTGCATACTTCATTCTATCTGCCAAAGTTCCTGTCTCTCTTAATTTAAATTCTTTGCCATTTTTGCCTCCTTTTTCAACAAACCTCCAATTAAGCTAATCAGTGTCCTCTGAGTTTTATTGTTAAAAGAAAACAGTTCTATCGCTATTTAAATTCACAAGAAAATGAAAAGAAACAAATCCTAAATGTAAAAATAAAATTTAAATGGTAAATGCATATGTTTGGCCATCATGCAAATTAAGCTGTAAAGTGTTGAGCCTCATGCTTTTTAAAAATGCTATTTAAATATTGTGGAATATTCACAAAAATAACGTTCAGTGTTAATGACAACTATCTACTTCAATAACTGCACTTATTCTATAAAATAGATTTTTTTTATTGGATTTCAGGAAGAATGGATGAACTTCCATTCCACGTGATATAGACAGACTTTTTTTAAATTACAAAAAAGAATGTTTCAGAGAATTAGAACCAACACAAAAATTGAACCATTTTAGTATTTAAATACTTCTAGTAAACATGACATTATTTCCAAGGGAATACACACACACATACACACACACACACACACACACATATATATATATATATATATATATATATATATATATATATATATATAATATATATATATACATATGATTCAGTTTATTTAATGGACATAAGAGACCTTAAAATGTTGTTTTGTTTTGTTTTCAATAAATTGGTCTGAAACTCATGTGAATAAATGAAAGGTGTGTGATTTCATAAGGAATGGATTAAATATCTAAAAATATATTGCTTTATAATTAAGTGCTTTGAAAAAATGTTTTTATGTTTTTGTTTCATAATAACAAAACTTTAAGTATATTTTACTTTCTACATGCATTTTGTTTTTTTCTTTACTTTGTCTGGAAACAATTTCAATGGAACTCCTTTGAGTGTGAACTCACTTCACCAATGCAAATCTGCAACTCATCTATTAAGTGATAGGCTTAGAGGGTTGTTTAGGGCACTAGAAGTTAATTAATTTTCTCATTGATCATACAGCCAGTGTGTGTCAGAGGAATGATTCAACCTCAGGTCTCCCTGACTTCTCAAACCTAGATCCTTTGGACTCCAAGACCTGCTCTCTATTTCCTTTGTCATGTTGCATCTCATGTAAGTTTGTATCACATATTTATTTTACAAAAACATATTATACTTCATTACATATTAACATATATATGTGTGTATATGTATATGTATTATTTGACTTCATACATAAAATGGGTATCACATTTCTTACCTTCTCCATGGGTGGGCAAGGGGGTAGAGGGAAAAAGAGATTTGGAATAAAAAATAAAAATAATTTTTATATAAAATTTTAGTATCTTAAATGTATGTAGACCCATGCATATACACAGGCCAGGACACATATATGACATGTTTAATCAGTAACACTGCAGCTGTATTACTCTACCATGGTATACAAGGTAGTATGGTGTCACGGAAAGTCTTGGAGCCAGGAACAACTTGGATTAAGATTCTACCTCCAACACTTACTGTGTGGCCATAGGCAAGTCTCAACAACTCAGAGCCTTAGTTTCATCATCTTTAAACCAGGTATACCCACAGCTATAGTATCTGACTTTTAGCATTGTTGAGAAGATCAACTGAGTTAATGAATTCAAAATATTATCATAAGCATTCACAAAAGTTGGCTGATAATAGAGAATCTTTCCTACTCAATGTGCATATTTAATCTGTCCTGTTCTTTATTGCCTGCCTGATTTTTAGCTTTATCACTGTCCAGTGGGTTGCAGGGACTCAGCTTCCCTTGCAGGCTGCGTGGATCACATTGCCAGCTGTGATTGTTTTTCAATGTTATCGTTATGAGTGTTTCAACATTTTCCATCACTTAAGTCTGATCTGGTTGTGTATCCCTTGTCATGTGGTCTGATGTTGCAGTATCATTTTGGTACCTGCTAACTGCTGTGTTTTTAGCGCCTGATTGTTGATTTTATCTCCACTTTTATTGTTAAATATGATGTCTAGATGATGCCAGTAAAAGTAGCCAAGATCATCTTGGGGTGGTGATGGCAGTAGCAAGACTTAAGCCCAGAGAGTGGTTGTTGGGTTTATGGGCTTAGCGCTATTCCCCAAATCTTTCTAATGATCCCCTTATTACAAGATTCAACATAACCAATGATCCATGTGCTATTCTTGTGCTAGACTTTTTCCTAATTATGACGAAGTTTTTGAAGCTGCTCCTTCTTCCTTCTATACGTGGTCTCTCTACTTTCTGCCAAGCCATTGCTGGAATGCAAGAAGAATGAATATCCTGTTTTGTTTCTGTTTTAACACAAAATTATCACGTATGTGCATACATATCTCTATATCTATCTGTCTGTCTGTCTGTCTATCTATCTATCTACACACACACACACACACACACACACACACACACACACAGGCTTTTTGGCCTGTAGCAATATATATCCTCCAAAAGGAAGAGTGGTGTGTCCCTAAGCATATCACTGCTATTAAGTCTCTGGAAGAGAAGCCATATGAGGCCAAGCTGTGCACTTGTCAATGACTATTGTTCCCCCTTGCTAATATATTTTCTTTGACTCAGTGCTGACTTCCCTAGCTTTGGATAACTTCTAAGAAATCCTTAGTTACATCATAAACTCTGACTTGACCTGGCATGGCAGCCTGTTTGCACTTTGGTCATGGCTTGGACCCTGCTGTTTTTACTAGGAGTGTTCTTTCACTCAGCTGCTGCTAATTGGCTCTATTTTTGGCCCAATCTGCTTTCCCAAGGAAAGTTGGGAATTCAGGATAACTTGGGAAGGACCATTCCACCTAAGGAAAGGAGTCCCTGATATGATTCTATCTCATATTTTGCTTCAACTATGTAGATAGAGCAATAATGAAAGCTTCTACCCATAGAACAACTATGACTACATAGCTAGTGTGTCAGAGACAGGACCAAAGCCCAGGTCTTCCAAACTCTAAGACCTGCCCAGATAATGGCTTTTCCTGTCAAGAATTTCTTTTCTGACACACTCTGTGTTTAGTCACTAGGCCTAGATAAGCTACAACCCAGGGTACCAAAAGAGCTGGCAGATGTCCTAGACTATCTGCTCAAAGATCTAGTTTAAAGACAGTGGAGAATGGCAGAATTCCCATTGGACTGAAGAAGAGCAAATCATTTCAATTTAAGAAAATGGGAAGAAAGAAAGAAAGGGTTCTCCACACTATAGGCTAGTGAGCTCCATTTCCATTCCTTCCAAAAATCTAGAATGCATTATTGAAATGAAAGTTACTGGACTAGTTACTGGCGTCCTACTATCTCTCTCCTCTCAGAGCAGTAGACAAGACTGTGCCCTTTTTTTGTTATGGTTCTGAGACTGATGGGTCAGAGAAATGCTGTAGAAATAATTTCCTAAATTTTTAGCAAAGCATTTGACAGAGTCCTTTAAGATATTCTTGTGGGCAAGATGGAGAGAGGTGGGCTAGACAGCAGTATAGTTAACAGGGAAAAACCCAATGTGAGTCACTTAAATGACTTTTCTTTCTCATAGAGGATGTTATTTCTGCTACTGGTTGAACATCTGGATCCAAAATTAATGGTTCAACGTCACCTTGGAAGCAAGAGTGACTCAAAGAGCTGTGCTTCATTCTGTTCTGTTTAATATATTAGATAAAGTCATAGATGGCATGTTTATCAAATATATAGATTACACAAAGATGCAAAGGAGAGGTTGCTAACACACTGTTCTTAAAAAAAAAATACTGACAGGGTAGAATGTCAGACCAAACTGAGTAAGGTGAAATTCCATAGGTGGAAATATGTCTTACACTGGGTTAACATAAAGCGGCTTCACAATTACAAGATGGAAGAGTTTGGCTAAAAAAACAATTCCCTTTTCAAAAAGATCTGGGAATTTTAGCAATACAAGCTGAATATGAATCAGTTGTGTGATGACAAGCCAAGAATGATAGTGGGACCTTTGGCTGAATTGAGAGGTATAGTGCCCAGGACTGGGGAGATGATAATCCAATCATACTCTAATCTGGTCAGACCTCATTTGGAGTATTGTGATTAGTGCTGAGCACCACATTCTAAGAAGGACATGGATCAAGTGAAGCTCAGGGGACAACCCCCAGAAGAGTCTGGAGTCCTTGTCATATGAGGACTGGTTAAAGGAACTGGCTATGTTTACTTTAGAGCAAAGGAAATTTAGGGAACATATCTATGTCCAGGTATTTGAAAGATCAATATGTAGAAGAGAGATTAGATTTAGTCTGCTCGGCTCCAAAGGGCAGAACTAGAAATAATGGGCAATAATGTAAAGGAGGTAAATTTGTGCTTGATGTAAAGTAAGTCTTCTTTACAATTAGATCTGTCTAAAAGTAGAATGTTCTTTCTGGGGATGTGGTAGATTCTTCCTATTGCTTCACTCAAGCAAGATCTGAGCTTGGATATGTTGTAGGGTATGGGTTGAACTAAATAATCTCTGAGCATTTTTTAAAATCTGAGATTCTGTGGCTGATGTAGGTCAATTGGAATTAATATGTAAATAAAACTACAGGTCCTCTAGAGGTAAGACTGTTGGCATGGGGGAAAAAAACAAGCAAAGTAATTCCTAGTATTTTAAAACAATCATCTTTTGACTTGCCATAATTTGTTACTTTTCTTAAATCTTACTAATCCAATGCCTTTCCATCCCAAATATTGTCCTATTGCATTTGGCAAAGGTCTTTTGTGTAATTTAGCATTATCTCATTCTGATTGTTTTTTCTTCAACTTATTTTATCATCATTTTCCCTGATATCAGTGTCTCTCAAAGAATGATGCACCAAGTTTTAATTACTTGATTATTTCCTTGCTTTTGAGTTGTTTTTTCATCGTTGGGAAAAATGTTAAGCACTACTAATGGGAAACTAAATTGATCTTCTGCTAACCTTCCCATATGCACAGAAATGAGCTTCTGTAGAAAGGTAGTGATTATGGAACCCATCTCAATTTTGCCAGTCAGACACCTTGAAGAAATCAATTAGTAGGCAAATTATTAACTAATTGAGCATTTAGAGTGTTCTTACTTTTGAAAAATCAATTAGGCCTTTGCCCTTAGTTTTCAAGCATTACTTCATTATTAATTGTTTTAAACAGCAGTTCATCAGTGATGGATTCAGATCAGCTGACAGTTGTGTTTTGTTTATACTCTGCACTTAATTGATTAATACAATGAGTTGAAAACCTTTAACATCATTGATCATGTCATGGAATGCTGAGTAATTGACTGGGAAAATGTGATTTTTCAGATTAATGATTCAGTGGTTGGGGGGTTCAATTCAGCAACAGCCTGCAGTCAGCTAAAAGAGAGGATTTCCAGTTTTTCCTCTCTAGTCAATGTCCAGGATGAAGTTCCTGCCTCAATCTTTATACATCTTTTTTTTTAAGGACTATTTTGTATACTGGCCAATTATTCAGTTTTTCAACTACTTCCTATGTGGTAGACCTCTACTGGTCTACTATCTTGATTTTTTTTTTTACACCAAGATTTTTTAAAATACATATTTTGTCCCCTAGATGGAATGCCTGACAATAGACTCAGAAATCATGCTGATGTTCAAAACTCTGTGAGCTCTTCTGAGATGAGGCCACAGCCAGGTCACTGGTTCCCTTCAACTAATATCTCAGCTGGGAGATGTACTGGTTATACATCCCCTCACCTTCTTCAATCTAATAATCCAATTAACATTTATTAAGCATCTACTATGTGTTAGGCACTCTACTAAGTGCTGAAGATACTATTAATAAAAAGAAAGTCCCTGCTTTCAAGGAGCTTACAATCTAATAGGGGAATGACAACCCACAAAAAGAGATAGGAAAGAGGGGGAAGTAAGACAAGGTGCACATCAGGGAGTATCCAATTTGGGGGAATCTTGTTCTGTGAATTTGAAACCAGACAGAGCAGCAAATGCAGTGGAATAAGTAAAAAGTCCAGTTTCTGCCCTCTATAAAGGAAGGCTTTGGGAGAATTTTGGTACCCCACCCTCCAGCTCTCCAAACAGAAAGGAGAGGAGGCTGAAGGAGGCGGTGTCAGTCAAAGCTTGAGTTAGTAGCATGGGGATGAGATTAGAGATGAAGAGCTTAACCTACAAGGGGT